AGGCGATGGGGCCGACTAGGCGACGGGACCGGCTGGGCGACGGGGCCGGCGAGGCGACGGAGCCTGCTAGGCGACGGGGACAGCTAGGCGACAGGGCCGGCTGGGCGACGGGGCCGGCTGGGTGACGGGGTCGGCTAGGCGACGGGGCCGGCTATGCGACGGGGCCGGCTGGGCGACGGGGCCGGCTGGGAGACGGGGCCGACTAGGCGACGGGGTCGGCTAGGAGGCGGGGCCGGCAGGGCGACGGGGTCGGCTAGGAGGCGGGGCCGGCTAGGCGACGTGGCCGGCTGGGCGACGGGGCCGGCTAGGAGACGAGGCCGGCTAGGCAACGGGGCCGGCTAGGAGGCGGGGTCCGCTGGGCTACAGGGGCCAGCTAGGCGACGGGGCCGGCTGGGCAACAGGGCCGGCTAGGCGATGGGGTCGGCTAGGCAACGGGGCCGACTAGGAGGCGGGGCCGGCTGGGTTATGGGGCCGGCTAGGCGACGGGGCCGGCTAGGCGACGGGGGGCCACTAGGGGACGGGCCAGCACGGGCGGGAGGGGAACGGGGCGGCTAGGACCTAGGGTGGAAACGCTAGCGGGCGAGGGGGACCTAACATACTCATGATACCATATCAAAATTAACGGATGAATAGAAAGTTGGGATACAAGGGAATATAACCTAGTGGGTTGTACTCTCTAAGGCACAACCCTATGCAGTCTATAACAACATGCAAACATATGTTTGACAATATAGCCCTAAATCATATAGTGAATTTTGGGGTGGGTCTTTTACGGATAACTGGAAATAATTTACCTGGGTTATATCTTGTACAAATATGGAATTCAAATTTCAACGTATAGTTTTTTTCCTTGTTCACATTTCAGTCTCATTGCCAAGTATTCCGGCCCACTTTCAGCCTTCCCTGCGCAAAATGCAGTGTCTCACGATATATGAGTTTCTGATTGGTTCAATCTCAAGCTAGCCAATTATGTAAAAGTAATAACCCCACAATAGACAATTACTCGAGATTTGAATTCTGTGGAACAAGGAAATTTTAGGCAAGTGGAAGATTTAGATACCCTTGTAGCAGGAGAAGTGCTTATCCTGAAATAACATCTCTAAGAAACCTCATGCTGCAACTTCTCGCTGCAACCTTTCACTGCATTGTTCACACGTTGGCTCAAGTGGCTTTTGCCACCCGCTCGCGTCGTCTATGTGAGGTAGTGCGAGACTTCGGGTGGGTTAATCCTCTGTATGATGTAACGAGCTACTTGGGATTAGACAAAATAAGGAATGCTACTTGCGATACGTTTTCTTCTAACAACCTCCAACAAAATCAAAGATTCAGTAGCATTTGGTATGGCGGGAAAAACTTTGGGAAACGAAATCGGAAGCAATCTGAATTGTCACAAAATCGATCCACTGCCAAAATTTCGTCTCCAGCCCATGCACAGCAATACAACAGGTTCGAGACTAAAATAGCACGCTTGAATTTGTTCTGACTATACAGAAGTCTACCACGTGGAGAAATCCCACCCCCCCCATCCCATCCCACCCTTTTGGCAGCGATCGAACTTGGGCTCCCCATCATTCCCTTTGTTTATTCTAGTACATTTTTCTTCTTATATTTCCTTGTAGCTCCCTTTATCGGCCCTCTCGATTCCCTTCTTTCCCCCTCCCTCTGTACTTTCGTTCTACTTTGAAACTTAACGGCTACAAATGAAAAGGTAGGGGTCAGTTGATTACCACGATTGAAGACTTATTTGCCAAAAATATATGATGGTTTTCAATAAAACCATACTTAAATCCGGATGTTTAAGGTATAGGCGAGGGCGCAGTGGGTAACGACAAGTAACGCGGCATAGGTAGCCCACGAGTTCGGGGCGTGGCTTGATAAGCGTGGGCTGATTCCAATAAGTGACTCGGAGGTGTTGACGTGGGTCGCGTTGACAGAACATGCAAGGGTTAAATGTGTGTAACAAGGCGGGCCAAGAGGAGCGGCTTGTAGGCAATAGAGCGCCGAATGCACAGTAAGGAAAAATGCTTTCCTTACACCACACCCCTCTAGATTATCTCCACCAATGATGTTGCACCCACATCTCGAATGTGGCGTTCCCGTAAATACCCTTTCAAGAGTGGGGAATTCCAGACCTCCTCCAAAGGCAACCAATTTTCTTCTGCTACCATTCTATCCTTCCATCTAACCAAGAACTCAATACGGCGAGCACCCTGAGGGTCCCATATATGACGGCTAGGCATACTTTACGGGCCTAAAATTATTTTAGTCGTAGATGTGTTCAGGATAGGTGGCCAGTATTGGTATAGACTGATGCAATAGGCTGGTGTGGATCGCCTGGCTTATTGTCCAAACTTGTGGTAGCAGTAGGTGCGCAGTCACCGGGTGATCATATGGTGAATATGGAATGATACATAGTACGATGAACAGGCGCATGTTCTTTGTGCCAGACTTGTCTTTTGTGTCTGTCTTTTAAATTATGTTGTTGCGCGTTCCCAGACAG